TGCACTAGCAACTTTGGCCTGGCTCTCAGCCAGCTGCCCTTCTAGCAAGTTGATCCGGCCCTGCATGGCCAGGACTTGCTTATCACAGACTTCCCTCATCTGATCAATGGCGACTCTGCATTGCGAACCTAAGGTTTGAATGGTAGAGTTCATGATCTCTCGATGCCTCTGTTCCGCTTCAAAACGGACGGCCTCTTCATTTCCCGAAGCAATCTGATGAACATTGTTCTGAATAAACTGGAAATATGCTGTGACGCCTTCAGACCCCATAACAATATCCTCGGGCGCGAGGTTGCCCCCGGCGACCGGTACAGTATCGCCAGAGTATGGGATGAGAGCGAGCGCGGCATTCACACCATCATCTGTAGCCATGGCAGAGGCTACGGCTGATAACCTGTATTTTCAGGCTCAACCACTAAAATACAGTCAAATTCCGCTAAGCTGCAACTGCTTGCGCTCCTTTTTGTCGCGATGAGCTGCGTGCTTGAGCCAAGAATTGGCATGGTGCGTAAAAGCCTAGCTTTAGGTGATGTATTTCAACAGTGTGTCAAATGTGAGGCAGGCGAGTGTGCAGCTATGTGGTCTGCTTAGCCTGGTTGTGCCTGAAGGGACACCAGTGCACTTTACAAACGGTAGTGCTGTGCCCCCAGCAAGGCCCAGGGACACAACACCAACCCTAAAACGGCTCAAGTCCAAAACTTGGTGCTGAGGTATGCAAGCATGCAAATATAACCACATGCAAATCAGAACCCGAAACTAAGGTGTGACCGTGTGTGTGTGTGTGGCCTATCACCGTGAACGGGGCATTGCTAGTCAATCCCCTTTGTTACGCTCGCCTGCACACACCGAAGGGCGCATCGGGATCTGCAAGAGGCTTGAAGCTCCTCGGTGCACTTCACCACCAGCGATTCAATCCGTTCAGGCAGCAAGGGTGATTGTCCTCGACAAAACAGAAACTCGCATCGCACAGCTGGATTGTTGACATTGGGCAAGACTATGGATGTATTTTATAGAATAGGTAAACATGCACACAATATATTTCCATATTGGGCCAACAAACCTGTTGCAAAAGAACAAAAAGGACAGCTTTACATTCAACAGAAAGGGTTGAGGGAGATTCGGGCAGGTAGTTCGGGCCTGAGGCATTTCCAGCTGCTGGCGGTGTCTCAACGCCCAACCCATCAAGAAGTCGCTTCTGTGCGGCCTCGCTTCCCATGGAAACCAAAGGGTAAGAACCCCATCACCATCAATTTGTCAGTCATGTTTTGTGCAGCATGGCCCTAGTAGCTTCTTGTTCCTAGTAGTAAGGCCAGGAGCCGCATGGCCCTGCGGAACCCTCAATGAAAGCTCTTGAAGCAGGTTCTTGACATGCCTTCTTCGTTTGAATCACTCACAGCCTCGTCTAAATGCGGCAGGACATGCTCACCCAGTCCATCTGCCAGGCTGTCTCGCAATTGCTCTCGCATCATGGGCAGCAATCGCTGAAATGGCACTGAGAGGCACTCCTAGAAAGGAAATCGCTGCTTTTCCAACAAGGATGCCAAGACTGGGCAAGTGAAGGAAACACACACACACACACCCTTCAGTTGTCAAATCACCTTCTCAGCTGACGCGAAGGAAACACAAATGGGGTGGGAACACACATGGAGTTGTCTCCTCTGCAATTTCGGCTGCGGTAGGCGCAGTGGGAGATCGCATGAGACAGTCCAATATGAAATCGACCCAGGCTCCCACTTTCTCCTGATGCGTTTCTACTCGCGCTTCGACTGTCGGCTCCAAGGCCCGCGGTTCAATGTCCAAACACGTTCGACTGACTGGCCCTTGAAGGTCCTGAGTAGTAGGTGAATCTTTTCCATGCTGCAGCAAAGCGCAAAGGCCTGATACATATGCAAAGAAGTCACCCAGAGAATCTTGGAGAACACAAGTTTGTCTGAGAAGTCACCTGCAAACTGGACAAGGGGTGCTTGTGAAATTATCTGTTACCAGCTAGATGCAGCCAGGCACAAAGGGGTGGATACTAGATTACTAGATAAGATCAGAGTAGGAGGGGCAACAATGGCGCAGATCTGGAGATCGAATGAAAAGTATGGTTGACAGCGCGGGACATGAGGTGCGAGGTCAGCAGAGAGTAAATCATACGAGTTTGGATCTCATGAGGACAAGTAGGATTCTTTCGAATGAGGCTAAACAAATAAGGTGAGAGATGTGGGCAACGGGGTGAGGCAAAATGTGGGGAGAAAACCAAACGAGCTAGGAGAGCACAGCACGAGGGAAAAGTCGAACCAAGGTGGTCACTTTTGACACGTTGCACTCGAGTGCACCCTGCACCCATAGCCGAGTGCTTGCCAACAATCCGTTTCTTAGTAGGTCAAAAAGAAGTAGTCGGACCAATTTAATCTAACCTTGCACAAGAGGGCACATGCTGTCGCCGTACCTCAAAGAAGGAAGGCTTACCATCAAGAATTCCAAAGAAATCTGGCCCTCGAATTGCCGACAAGTGGCAGCCCAAAGGAAACTGTTGTGTCTTGGGGTCGAACTTGTAGAGATTCTTCTCGATCACTCGAAGGAAGTCCCCCTCAGGCCATGGACTTAACAACATCTACGAAAACCATTGAACAAAGTGAGCAAACCATGTGCCTTCTTCTGCTCATCCACGAGCGCTAACGTTTTTTGAAACGGAGCTGAGAAAAACTCCTGCATCATGTCGACCCCATTCCAGCGATGATGGACATGGGCAATTGAACAGCTTTTGCTAAGGGTAAACGCAGCAGTCTGCGCACAGAAATCGATATGTATGCCGTGTACTGTCGGTAAATCAAGTAGTGCATGTCTCGGCTTTGCATTTGACATACTTAACAAGGTCTTCCCGCTCGCGCAGCCCCATGGCAGTCCCTGAAGAGCTGACGATGGGTTGTGGTGGTTCCTTGGCCTCAGCTGCATTCTCTCATACTGTATCTGCATGATGCTCCACAGAATTGTCACGTGTGTTAAGAAACCTTTGTACAAATAGAGAAGTAAAATAGCTGTCTCTTGACCATTCTTGACTTGACAAGTGTCGCTCTGCGACCCAGGACCATTCCACCAGTGAGTCCAGTTTGTTTGAAAGCGACTTCAGCCATGAGGAGGCAAAATGATGGTTCATGGCATCGTGGCATTGGCGAAGGCGGAAACCGAGCGAAGGCAGAAACCAGCCCGGAAACAACAGCTGTGCTGACGGTAGTGATGGCTGAACTCTACAGCAAAGCCAATGAGAACTGCAAAAAGAACTTATGACGTCGTGAATTGGCTCAATAAGTCTGCTGCATGGAAGGAGTGTTTGCTGCACCTGGGCGAATATCTTGCATTTTTGCATGGCTAGCATAATTGGCACACCTGAGAAGTTCATATTCCATGTGATTGTTTGAGTGTTTGAGCTTCTATTGCGGCAGCTGCTGTGACATCGTGCACACCCTTGGTGAAAGGGTTGATGTGCAATGCAACCTGGACTGATAGTAGGTCGCAAGTTCAAGTATGTTCTTGTGCCTTCTCTTGCCCAAACCTCCGGTCCACACAACGATCGACAGCTCTAGGGTTGAAAATTAGAAGCACATTGGTTGGTCCAAAATTTGGGGGGGAAACACCAACGAGACATAACAAGACTTGAAACACCTTACAGCCTTCTCGATGATATGATCCAATTGCACAATGCACTGAGTTGTGCGTCATACTTACAGTAATACATCACAAACAATTTATCCATCAGCCATCAAGCTCTGAATTTCATCTTCGACAATTCAACTGGCCACACGGCTGGAACGTTCATTGAGGATCAAAAGTCAGCAGCAGTGCATACAGCACAAACTCCCGCAAAAGAGTTTGTGCCACACGCTGTATTTGGGAACCAGATCTGGACGACAGGTGGCCCTAAAGGAGGAAATGTGTATCTGTGTGAGGTGCAACTCGCGTTCTTGCCTGCTTGCATAACATATGCACATCCAAAAATAGAGTCAGCAGGCTCAAATTGATGGGAAGAGCTTTAAACCCAAACACGGAATGAAAACGTCCACTTCACCCGGCAGCTGACGGACCACCATTTCACCGTGAGTGATACACTCTTTACCAAGCATGAGATGCTGACCACTCCACCACCGGGAGATGCTGACAGCACCATTCGTCACCAAAGGTGCAACAAAACCGTGACCAATGGAGGACTAACCTTCCATTGTCTCACCATTGTCTCACCATTCATTCAGAACCCTTCCAATTCGCAGAAGATACCCCGTCGCGTTGGGGTCGTGGAGTGGTAGTTAGTCATTAGTGATCTTTTGTCAGCTTTTAGCTAGTGCGGCTTGCTTGAGAAGGTTTGAAAAGAGAGCGCTTGATAAATGGCTGTCGGCCCCAATGAGACAACAGCACATCCATCTTTGACCACGATTCAACCGCAGGTCCTCTGCAACTAAAACTTGGTTTAAGGCAGTCTCAAGTTTTCCAAAAATTGGGCGCCCTTTTCCAAGGTTCCGGAGTTTGGGGGCATGCAAAAGACTCCGAAGTGTCCCAAACTATGGACGTGTCTCCCAACCACACCTTCGTCCACAGTCCCTTGAGGAGCTTCTGGTGCTCCAGTTTGAAAGCAATTGCCCTCATAGTCCGTAAAGGCAAAACAAACGTATTTCATCAATACACTATTTGATGTGTGTGCATTGAATTCATATGTACATTGAATTCATATAATATATATAACTATATATATATACATGCGCTCATTAGTACAAATGCGTAAAACATGTTTATATTGAATATGTTGAGGAAAAAAACGCGCTAAACTCTAAACCAAGTGAGGCATCGTATACATTCTATACTATAATTATGTATACATATATATATATAACTATATAATGGTATATGTATTAATACTCGGTGATTTTCTATAAAATCAATTAGGATTTGACTCATTATCAAAACTCCAAGAAGAGCAAGGACAAGCAATGATCTCCTCAACCGCGCATCTGCGCTTCTGTGCATCATGAGAAGTGGTATCCGTGGGTCAGGCTGCCAGTCCTGGCTGCTGTATAAAGCTTCGAGATGCTCAGCATTGGCGGGAGAGCACCTGGGTGAACGAAAGCCATGTGTGATAAACCGACATGGGAAATGCGACGTCGCAAGAATCTCTGGCCTTTGTGGCTCTGCTTCTTTGGCAGTCCGTGGTGCTTTCGTTTCATGAGCGTGCGATCTTCACCTTGCCAGCCACAAGTTGAGGAATAGCATGGATTAGCTATTCGCAGTGATGAACGAATGGTGTTCTTCAAAGTGCAAGAGCCTTGGACCACGAGGCGTTGCTTCGTGTTCTGTTCCAGTTGCTTGGTCGTCTCTTCCAACTGTGCCTTTGCCTTCTGCAAAAGCACCTGCCTTAGAGGCAGGGCGAGGCCCCTGTTTCCTTGACGGCTGACTTTCCACTTAATGAGGCAATGGTCACATGCAAACTCAGTTCTTGGAACCAAGAGCGGCTAAATGCAACGAAATGCAAGTCATCTGGCACTTCTTCCACACTTTCCAGCCATGAGAGCAGGAATCTTGGAGGACAGCGGCCCGGATCCTTCAACAGGTTGCTGGCCTTGCTAAAGCCTCGTCAAGAGTCACAAAAAATCATACAGGTTTGGATGCTCGGGATGTTTACAGTAGGTGAAAATGTAGGAAGTATCCAAAATGAAGAGGATGGTGGCTGTCTGACAAGCTGCTGTCCCAAGACTTGCTGAAGGCCTCTTGTCTTTGCAGCGCTTTAACTTTGGAAACCTTCTCACAAATAAAGCTCAATTGGTGACATGATTTCCCTCTCTCTATCTCTAGCACATTGTAGCATTGTAGCACATGGGGTTTTGCGAGCATTTTAGGCAGAGATTGCCTTCAGTTCATCTGGATCCAAGCTGCCAAAACTGATGACCATGATTGTCCCTCAAAGGGAATGTTCGTCCAAGTCGCCAAACGCAGTTGAAGCTGATCAACCATTTCCTCCTCCGGATCAAGCTTTTGGCCACAACAGTGGCTTTTGGCACAACGACGGCAAAGCCATGAGACGCGTCCTGGGCCAAATGTGGTGGTGGCTTAGAGCCGAAAAAATGAATGGCACTTTGGACCGAACGTCCTTCCACTTGCACACAATTCCGGCCACCCTTCCATCCATTGTGTCCTCGGAACAGAAAACCTTCAGTGTACTTGGATGGTGTGTTGTGACATTTTCATTGTGACACTCATGGCACGTCTATTGCCCATTTGTCAAGCATCTGCAGCTCATGCAGCGTCTCCACTCCTTGCAAATGCTATGCCAAAGGGCAGGCCTAAAGAAACAGCCCAGCTGACCCGCCAACCAGCCGACCACTCGCCTTGGTTCCAGCTTCTCCGGGCCTAGGTGTCAGATTAGCGTCCGTTGACGTCAATCGAACCAAGGTGTGGGCCAACCCAAGCTTCACCGAGCTGCCACCACGGCCGGGTCCAAATTTTAGAGTTCGCTCCTTCGTGGCTGAAGGCAGCAGAAGGATCAAAGCATTCAAACCAGGCATTGGTTGGTCCAGGGCATTAATAGTAACATCTTCTGACTGGGAACTTTAAAACTGACGAAGTGTCGCCCGGTGGCCGATCCTGAAGTAATGATTTTGGCACTTGGAGTTGTGACCGGGCAATGACCTGAGTCCAACGCAACAAACCTCAAAACACTCTGTTTTGGATTGTGCGTGTTGTATGTTGATATATGATATATGCGTGAGTGTCCGTGCGTGTGTGTCCTACCCTGTTCCCAAGGGTTTCCACTCCACGAACCACGTTCCTACACATTGCAAGCAGGGGGCTAGCGGCCCATTTCTCGACGCTAGCCTACGAAGCTAGGGAAATGGGTGGATGAGCCTGTGGACGCACAGACTCGTACCTGCCAGGCAACTGTTGTTCACGCTGTCCACTTTTTTTGGTTTTGCTTCCATGGCCGTTCTCATAATACCTCCGCCTCCCATTCAAAGCAACTGGTTTCCCTCCGCCACTTTCCGCTGCCGCGTTCTGCAGACTCGCAAACACTGTGTTAAACAATTCAGTTGCGCTGACCGCTTTACCTTGCGTTTCCCATGTTCATGTGACTGTGGATTATGGAAACTGCAAACCCTGTGACTAAGTGTGTTTTCGCTGTGTCTTCCCACTGGGTACACAGTGTGATCCTCTCGCAAGAGAGGCGCAGAAGCCACCGTGGATCACATTTTGATTTCAGCGTTCTTTCACTCGTGGATTATGATTCACTGAATTGACGTCTCACCCATGAATCAACCGGCATGAAAGCTGCCGAGCCTATGGTTTCAATGCTGCCGAGCTTACGGTTCAAGCGACTTTTTCACACCATTTGTTCTCCATGACATGTACTTCCATTTCAATTTTCAACTGTGAACCCCCACGTTTGTACAGAGACTTTTCACTTTCAACTCGCCCACGCTATGAAGTTTTCAGACTTCAGCTGCATAGCTGTGTACGCCACAAATATCTTTCTCTCTTGCCCTTTTCTTTTTGCTCTTTCTGTTCTTCTTTCTTTTTCTAAGGCTTGGCTATTCAGGTTTCTGACCCTTTAATTTGCCGTTCATTCGGCACTTTTGCTCGACAAATGTACACGTCACTACACCTATCTTTCTCTCTTGCCCTTTCCTTTTTGTTCTTTTTGTCTTTCTTTCCAATTTTCTAAGGCTTGTTCGGTGGCTATTCTATTCAGGTCGTGGCGATAGTTTCACCCACTCGTGCGGAGCAGCTGACCTAACGCGCTGCCGCTACCTGCAGCTGCTGAAGACAACAACAGCGATTTTTTCAACACCGCGCCAATGCAATACGCCTGGCCATACCCACAATCCTTCCACCAGCCTGTTTCGCCACAGGCCACCATGCCAATGCCACATCTGCCACCTCAACATTTTGCACTACAATCACAAGCCTTTCCCACTGTCCAACACATTCAACCTGTCTGGCAACCCCCAGTTGCCGCCCTCTCCTCTCCTCTC